TTCGGCCAGCAAGGGCAATCCCCTCTAAAAATTTTGATGTCGGGTGATGTCACCATAACAAATCTTAAAAATAATAATAACTGAAGAATTAAATAAATATCGACAACAGAAATAACTCACAACAATAATTTTCCATATTTTAATTAAGTTTCATATAATTCGGGGGAGAGAAAACAAATCATAACACAGGCTATCTTGTCTCCGCATAATCTGGACAGGGGAGAACATTTAAGCATTCGTCAAATGCTCAGTTTGTCAGTTTGACTGATGAACGGCATTCAAGGAACGCTACATTGAAGTCTATTTGGCTTCTGTAGCACTTCTGGGAACCTTTGGGGCATGCTGTGCGACAGGTGCGACGCAGGATCGAATGTATATCGTCCTGGGCCACCTGTCTCCGAACACAGAGTGAGACAAAACAAATAGTAAACATTAAATAAACTCTAACAAGATCTACCCTAATATCACAGGTTATTTCGTCATGGTGGCTACCATCTAGGCTACGATGGACGGTCGCGATCGTTCGCCAACATGCAAACGTGACTTACCGCCATCAACTGCGACAAGAAAACTCCCCATGTTAATGGACACCACGGCAAGATCCGTCTCCGTTGCTCTTCTGGCTATTCTTGGGGTATGCTGTGTGCGCAGGCTCGATTCTACATCGTCCTGGGTCAACTGCCTCCGAAGCTCATATAACTACGGTCAGCATACATCCAACATTAACACAAAATGAGACGAAAAACTAATAATTGAATAAATAACATCTGACAAAACTACCCTAATACCCACCTAAAAACAAGGGAAACCTTTCCTTGTACCTGCATTGATATTTTATTTATTTTTTTGATCTCCGCCCCCACTTTAAAGAAGCCGGGTACTTCTTCAAATTGGGCGCCATATTGTTACGGAACTGCTTGTTTCTCGGTGGGCCGCGCCGGCTGGCTCGTCGGTTCTCTGGGTGTAGTCCTATCCCTGACCCGCAGTCCGCACAATCGATATTAACAAAGCTACAACGTCTGTAGCAAAACAGACCTACACAACACTATTCGAAATTATCCACATAATCGATAACAACTCAAATCGCTTTAGTACACTGGCTCATCGGTTCTCTGGGTGTAGTCCCATTCCTGGCCCGCAGTCCGCACAATCGATATTAACAAAGCTACAACGTCAGTAGCAAAACAGACCTACACAACACTATTCGAAATGATCCACATTATCGATAACAACAAACAGTTGGAACTTCTAATAAATGAACAGCACTAACAGCTGTTACAACAAGAAAATGTAAACAACAAAGGTGAGACGCTCAATATAAATTATCAAAAAAACACTATTTATCCACGTTACTCTTCCGTATCGGGACCCGGTTCCGGACCCAGCGTACCCGCCCTACCTGAGACGATCACCTAACCTCGTCCCCTTATTTTGGCCACTAGTTGGCCTGCATCAGCCCGTGTCGGCTGTCATGCCCACTCTCCCCATCAATTTAAGCTTAGCCGGACATTCTTTCCTTCCATATGTGCGTATAATTAGTTGCGTTTTCTTAAAATTAATAACAATTAATCTCATTTCTTACTGCATTTATCTTTGCAGCCACTTACAATCTCATGCAAGCGGACCTTATAATTATAATATAATTATAATTATTGACAATTAATATTACTTCTATTGCAGGTATCTCTGCAGGCTATCTCCACTCAGTTATTTACGTTCTCATGCACGTGGACATTTCTTCACCAGGTGCGTATAATTGTTGCATATACTTATGATTATGGACAGTGTGTATAAATTTCAAAAAAATGCAATTATTTTCTAGCCGAACAACACAAAGAAAGGACGTCACCGAAAGCTAATGCCAACCGCCGTTGGGAACAACGTGGAAAAAAAATTGGCTCCCCACACGTTCGCGCATTTATATATATATATATATATATATATATATATTTATATATTACCAAGCTGGAAAAAAATGGTATGTTGTAAAAAAGCTTATATAAAAGGGTAAATTTGTAGGAATCAAATCGCTTAAGTACACTTGGCCTACCTAAAGAGATCTCTGGGGCGCCAGGGGCCATGGAAATAAATGATTTCTTTGTATATATATATTTATGGATCGATTGGATTCAAAATTACTTCGTTTTTTCTTTTTTTCTTCTTAGATGGCAGACGCAATAGTGTTTGATGACGTTCCCCGTTACAGGGTTAATTGCTAGTTTTACCAGGTGAAATACCTAAGGGAGAAATATGACTTAATTTATACAAAAAAACTAATCTATGAACAGGAAAACAACTACAGCTTGATGTCAGCAGCACGCCGTCTCTTGGCTGAGTCTTGGGAGGGGAGTGCTTGGAACGGACTCACTTGACTATCGCCACGTTTTTTGGCCTGTCCTTCTGGATAGCGTCGTGGACCGTGCGCCGAGGGTATGGCTGAGGTGCGCCGCTGCGTCGAAAACTGGCCGGGGGTGACTTTGTTGGACTCTCTGGTCCGAGAGCTGGTCCCTTCGTTGCCGGTGCCGTTTATTTTATTAATTGTCTTATTGTTTTTATTTGTTCGTCTCGATTCGCACGTAAGTTTCAAGTTTTTTCTAATTTTTGTATTTGGTGACACAATGTTTAAATTCAGATTTTATTATTAAACGGCAAAAAAAATGCATTGTTTAATTTTGGGGCCGACATTTAAAAAAAATAAATTTAAGCTCGCTTCGAGCTTGCACTCCCGCCGTTGACCGCTGATCAAATCCAACTCTCTGCTGTACATTTGGGCAGCATCATCATCGGTGCCGAATTTTGGCACACGCATACATATACGAGGCGGTTACAGTTGCTGCCCATCTGCACAGCTGGATTTTTTTTTTGATCGACGGCCCAAATGAAGGCCAAGGTCATATCCAAGGGCAGGCGATCCGTTCTCCCTATAATCTCTTTAGGAGCGAATCGGGCGGCCAATAGCAATCGCCCCTTTCGGCGCCGTGGATCGCAAGCCCGGCGTTGCCACTCTTCAATAAATTGGGCGCTGCTGTGTGCCCGGTTTCACCCCCGCTACTCTGCTCATACGACAAAAAGATATCGGCGTGGCCGGTAATATCGCACGCAACCAACGAAGCAAACAATCGATGCTGCCGATAACGTCAAATGCAACATCACCACGCAGGTTATTGTAAGCCAACGGTTTACGTGTTTATAATTAATCTGCGTGCGCATTTTCTACCTTTGTTCGCCCAGCCGGCGAACGCCCAACGTAGGCCCAACCCACGACCCTAAGATGCAGCACCGGGACGGTCGCAGCTAACGTATCTGCAGGAGTTCCGTTCGGAAACCGAAGTCTTTGACGGGATCCGTGGCGTCCTTGCCGTCAAACCCGCTGTTGCCCCTTCAAATTCTTTATCGTGCGCTTCCGGCGGAAAATCACAAGCTCTTCGGTCCTCCACCCGAAAGTTTCGCTTGTTGGCGCTGCGCCCGTTCCTAGCCTGAGGACTCCCGACAAACCTCGGTCTGGGGGGTAGATACTTTTCCGGGTCTCATCTCGGATGGACTCGCTGATGCCAAACGATGGGTGGTTTTGGGAACTCTAGGTTCCCTAGATGCCCTTTCGCCGGGATCTCTCTCTCCGGAACTCCCCGTTCCTCAGCCATGAATGACTCCTAACCACAAGGCACTAACCTTACTTATAATAACACCAATTCATATTAATCTTACCGACCACTACAAGTATTTATAAATGAATAAATAATTATACCAAATTCCCTATCGACGACAAATCTTGCTAATATTTACCTAAATTTAAATAAATAGATAAATAAATAAATAAATAACCACAATATTCACTATCGCCTACAAAAATAACTCACTTTCACTAACAAATCTTACAAAAAATAATAATAACTGAAGAATTAAATAAATATCGATAACAGAAATAGCTCACAACAATAATTTTCGTCAAATGCTCAGTTCGTCAGTTTGACTGACGAACGGCATTCAAGGAACGCTACCTTGAAGTCTATTTGGCTTCTGTCGCACTTCTGGGAACCTTTGGGGCATGCTGTGCGACAGGTGCGGCGCAGGATCGAATCTATATCGTCCTGGGTCACCTGTCTCCGAAGCTCATATAACTACGGCCAGCACACACCAAACGTAAACACAGAGTGAGGGTGAAATTTAGACTCCGTGTCACGTGTTCCTGTGTGAACAAGTTATTTTGTCATGGCGGCTACAACCAGGCTACGATGGACGGTCGCGAACGTTCGCCAACATGCAAACGTGACTTACCGCCATTAACTGCGACCAGAAAACTCCCCATGTTGATGGACACCGCTCTTCTGGCTATTCTTGGGGTATGCTGTGTGACAGATGCGGCGCAGGCTCGATTCTACATCGTCCTGGGCCACCTGTCTCCGAAGCTCATATAACTACGGTCAGCATACATCCAACATTAACACAAAATGAAACAAAAAACTAATAATTGAATAAATAACATCTGACAAAACTACCCTAATATCACCTTTTATCACAAGAAGCCTTTGTCATGGCGGCTACCACCAGGCTACGATGGACGGTCGCGAACGTTCGCCAACATGCGAAAGTGACTTTCCGCCATCAACCACGACAAGAAAAACTTCTTATGCTCAGGGATATTCTAGTAATCTCTGCCTCCGTCGTGCTTCTCGGATTCCACTACACGCTGCGCTATTATGGGCCACCTACTCGTGCCACAACAGTGGTGGGGATCCTAAAGACAAGGGAAACTTTTCCTTGTACCTGCATTGATTCTCCGCCCCGATTTCAAAGAAGCCGGGTACTTCTTCAAATTGGGCGCCATATTGTTACGGAACTGCTTATTGCTCGGTGGGCCGCGCCGGCTGGCTCATCGGTTCTCTGGTTGTAGTCCCATCCCTGGCCCGCAGTCCGCACAATCGATATCAATAAAGCTACAACGTCTGTAGCAAAACAGACCTACACAACACTATTTGAAATGATCCACATAATCGATAACAACAAACAGTCGGAACTTCTAACAAATGAACAGCACTAACAGCTGTTACAACAAGAAAATATAAACAACAAAGGTGAGACGCTATATATAAATTATCAAAAAAACACTATTTATCCACGTTACTCTTCCGTATCGGGACCTGGTTCCGGACCCAGCGTACCCTCCCTACCTGAGACGATCACCTAACCTCGTCCCCTTATTTTGGCCACTAGTTGGCCTGCATCAGCCCGTGTCGGCTGTCATGCCCACTCTCCCCATCAATTTAAGCTTAGCCGGACATTCTTTCCTTCAATATGTGCGTATAATTAGTTGGCGTTTTCTTAAAATTTGTTACGGAACTGCTTGTTTCTCAGTGGGCAGCGCCGGCTGGCTCATCGGATTCTCTGGGTGCAGTCCCATCCCTGGCCCGCAGTCCGCACAATCGATAACAACAAAGCTACACGTCTGTAGCAAAACAGACTCACACAACACTACTCAAAATGAACCACATAATCGATAACAAATATTCGGAACTGCTAACTCATGAACAAAATAAACAGCTGTAACAACTATGAAAATGTAAACAACAAAGGTGGGACACTCAATATAAATTAACAAAAAAACACTATTTATCCACCTTACTCTTCCAGATCGGGCCCCGGTTCCGGACCCAGCGTACCCGCCCTGCCATGAGACGATCACCTACACTCGCCTCCCTCATTTTGGCCACTAAATGGCCTACATTAGCCCGTGTCGGCCATCATGCCCACTCTCCCCAACAATATTACTTTAGCCGGACATGCTTTCTTTCAATATGTGCGTATAATTGGTTGCGTTTTCTTAAAATTTATAACAATTATAATCATCGCTTATGGCATTTATCTTGCAGCTATTTGGAATCTCATGCAAGTGGATATTTCGTTAACTTCACAGAGGTGCGTATAATGGTTTGTGTATTCTTATAATTATTGGCATTAATATTTCTTTTATTTATTTCTAATTTGCACGAGGTCTCCATTCAGATAAATTAGTATTCATGCACGTGAACACTTCTTCTCCGGGTCCGTATGATTGTTGCATATATTTATACTTATGGACAAAGTGTATTAATTCCTAAATTTTTCTCTTATCTTATAGAATTCATTTTTTTATCTTAACAGTACCAAATGGAACAGGCGACGAAATACTACAAAGATATTGCTAGTCGCCGCAAAAGAAACACGCAAGGAGTCAATTTAGAGGCAATCGTTGCGCCGATTTAGGAACAATGGCCCACACAAATACTTAAAACTGGGTATGTCACTATAATCATTCGTGCAACAGGTAGGTGATATAGATCTGTATTAAATCGCTTAACTCTACCTTACCCTACCTAAAGAGCTCTTTGGGGGTGGTAAGGGGCGATATAAATGGGTAAATTCCAATTAGGTAAGTATGTGAGCATAGTTCGCGCAAGTGTTAATTTTAAATTTTTATATTTTACAGGCGCAGATGCATCACCTTTGGAGTTTCCCTCACCGTTCGCACTCTAAAGTGAAGCTCGGCGTAAGTGCCTAAGTATGTATAGATATAATTTATAAATACAAAAAAAACTAAATTTAACGACAAAAAAAAAATTGCTCTTTTTCAGGGAGTACAATCAGGAGTCTTCATCTGACTCTGCCAAGGGCTCGAACGAGGATGGGCAAAATGGAACGGACTCACTCGGAAGATGTGGGCGTGGTCTCGCCTGTGGCCGCTTCTTCGTTGTTGGAGCCCGGTCGTTGGTGGCTCGTCTCGTCGCCTTCAGGGTTGCGCCGACGCTTGGCTGGCGGCGTCGCGGATATGGCTGGTGTGCGCCGCTGAGCCGAATCCTGGCCTTTGGTATGTTTCGTGGGCCTCTCTGGTGCGCGAGCTGGTTCCTTTGTTGCCGGAGCCGTTAATTTTTGTTTTTTTATTGGTTCGTCTCTCGTCGCACTTAAGTTTTTAGTCTCTTTTAATTTTTTATATTTTTGTGACTCGAGCGGTTTAATTTATATATATTTATTAAATTGCAAAAAAAAAACAAAACCAAAAAATTGTATTTGTCTGTTAAGTTATTTGTTATTACGCGCCGGCTTAACTTGCCAGATGGGAAAAAATTCGAATCTTTTGAGCCGATATGCAATATAAAACTTTTATGCTCACTTCGAGCTGGCACGCCTGCCGTTAACCGCTGATCAAATCGAACTCCTCGTACATTTGGGCAGCAACACCATCGGTGCCGAATTTCGGCACACGCATACATTTGCGAGGCGGGCACCGCTGCTGCCCATCTGCACAGCTGCATTTTTCTGGGTCAATGGCCCAAATGAAGGCCAAGGGCATATCCAAGGGCATGCGATCCACTCTCCTCATAGTCTCTTTAAGAGCGAACCGGGCGGCCAATAGCAATCGTCGCTTTTGGCGCCGTGGATCGCATGTCTGGCGTTGCCACCCTTCAAAAATTTGGGCTCCGCCGTGGGCCCAGCTTCACCCCGCATACTCTGACCATATGACAAAAAGATATCGGCGTGGCCGATAATATCGCACGCAACCAACTAAGTAACCCTCGGTACTGCCGATAACGTCAAATGCAACAAATTAATAACAATTAATCTCATTTCTTACTGCATTTAACTTTGCAGCCACTTACAATCTCATGCAAGCGGACCTTTCATTAACTTCACAGGTGCGTATAATAATTCGTGTATTCTTATAATTATTGACAATTAATATTACTTCTATTGCAGGTATTTCTGCAGGCTATCTCCACTCAGTTATTTACGTTCTCATGCACGTGGACATTTCTTCACCAGGTGCGTATAATTGTTGAATATACATATGATTATGGACAATGTGTATAAATTTCAAAAATATGCAATTCTTTTCTAGCCGAACAACACATAGAAAGGACGTCACCGAAAGCTAATGCCAGCCGCCGTTGGGAACAAAGTGAAAACAAATACTATAAATATTAAATTGAGCGAATGGCTCCCCCCACGTTCGCGCACGTATATATATATATATGTTACCAGGCTGGAAATAAATGGCATGTTGTAAAGAAGCTTATATAAAAAAAGATTCAAAATTACTTCGTTTTTTCTTTTTTTCTTCTTAGATGTTACCGGATTAATTGCTATTATTACCAGGTGAAATACCTAAGGGAGAAATATGACTTAATTTATACAAAAAAAACTAATCTATGAACAGGAAAACAACTACAGCTTGATGTCAGCAGCACGCCGTCTCTGGGCTGAGTCTTGGGAGGGGAGTGCTTGGAACGGACTCACTTGACTATCGCCACGTTTCTTAGCCTGTCCTTCTGGATAGCGTCGTGGACCGTGCGCCGGGGGTATGGCTGAGGTGCGCCGCTGCGTCGAAAACAGGCCGGGGGTGACTTTGTTGGCCTCTCTGGTCCGAGAGCTGGTCCCTTCGTTGTCGGTGCCGTTTATTTTATTAATTGTCTTATTGTTTTTATTTGTTCGTCTCGATTCGCACGTAAGTTTCAAGTTTTTTCTAATTTTTGTATTTTGTGACACAATGTTTAAATTCAGATTTTATTATTAAACGGCAAACAAAAATGCATTGTTTAACTTTAATTTGCGGAAAACTTTTCCAGAAATTTTTTATTTTGGGGCCGACATGTAAAAAAAATAACTTCAAGCTCGCTTCGAGCTGGCACGCCCGCCGTTGACCGCTGATCAAATCCAACTCTCTGCTGTATATTTGGGCAGCATCATCATCGGTGCCGAATTTTGGCACACGCACACATATACGAGGCGGTCACTGTTGCTGCCCATCTGCACAGCTGCATTTTTTTGGGTTAACGGCCCAAATGAAGGCCAAGGTCATATCCAAGGGCAGGCGATCCGTTCTCCCTATAATCTCTTTAGGAGCGAATCGGGCGGCCAATAGCAATCGCCCCTTTCGGCGCCGTGGATCGCAAGCCCGGCGTTGCCACTCTTCAATAAATTGGGCGCTGCTGTGTGCCCGGTTTCACCCCCGCTACTATGCTCATGCGACAAAGAGATATCGGCGTGGCCGGTAATATCGCACGCAACCAACGAAGCAAACAATCGGTGCTGCCGATAACGTCAAATGCAACATCACCACGCAAATTATTGTAAGCCAACGGTTTACGTGTTTACAATTAATCTACGTGCGCATTTTCTACCTGTTCGCCCAGACGGCTAATTAGAAAGCCCAACGTAGGCCACACCCAGAGAAGCGATGAGCCAGCCGGCGCTGCCCACCGAGAAACAACTAATTGGCTGGTTAATTCAAACTTATTTAACCCTTTAGACCCCAAAATTTAACCTATGGCTTGGAAATTTTGTCGTAAATAAATTTATATTTATTTAAGGATTTATCCAAAATTTCAAAAAGCCACACCCATCCGTTTGGGCGCTACCGGAAGTTGAGCTTTTGTTTTAGGTGTTCCTAAGCACCAATAAAAGATTCTTATAAAATTTTTTTGTGGGCGATTATTGGCCTTGACCTTCCCCCATTGTACGAAGCAAAAGAAGGCCTTGCACCATCAATGTAAGCTTTTTCTTTTAGGCTCCAACGATGACACATTCAAACAGGTTAATGGTCTGCACATGAAGATATAAGTTGAACTGGCTTATTATCAAACAACATTTCAAATCGAAAGCTCCTTCTACTCGCTTTTTGAGTAATGCGTCTGACAGTAACTCGAAGTTGCTTATTCGATTTTTATGAACAGTACCTGTAATAAATATTTCCTTCAAAGAAATCAGGAGGCTCACTGGCGTAAACCAGTTACATATATATATATATATAGCTTACAGTTTTTATGTTTGGGAAGACCCTATGCCAAATATAAACTACATCTGAAGATATTCCCAATCTATATGACGGCCAAAAAATCATATTCTAATCCAGATGTTCCAGCACGCGTTAATATTTTTAGACCCCATTAGTGCGGTTTAGCTGGGTTGTTTTATTTGTAAGTTTATCGACCTGTAACCAAAAGTTGTACTAAGATTTATAATACGAATTTTTATAGATGCATACCTTTGAACGCAATGATTTGTTCATCAACTCTTTGATGTTCTTCCTGAGGAAGTGCATTTTTCTTTGAGCATGTTTAGTAAGGAGAGTATCTTGTGCAGCTTGTCGTAGCTTAAATCTCTTTTTTAGGTTGTTTGATATTTTAGCATTGCGTCTGTTATAGCCGTAAGCTTTAAAATTTGCGAACATGCCATCTTATAACCACAATTGCTCACAATCAACTTTAAAAATTACTCACCTATTAACCTTTTCGGAAAACTATTTCATATACAATAATTGTTTTTCTTACTATTAAAAAAAAATTACTTAGTTCAATATATCTTTCGAATTTGACATATATATTTTCACCGACGCAACGACAGTCAATTTAATATAACTTCGTTATTGATCTCCAAATGAGCTTTCTTTGCATTAAATTTTGAGTTGACACATACAGGTTCGGTTATCATTACTTTTAACCGTTATAGAGCCGAAATATATATATTCTTAATTAGCATCAATAGCGGAGTCGATCTAGCCATCTGTCTGTCCGTATGTATGAGCAAGGATCTTTAGAACCTATAAGAGCTATAGACTTGAAATTTGAAACGTAGGTTCCCAAGTGTCCGCGCAGTACGAGCTAATCGAGTTAACCGATAATCGATAACTTTCCCCGGTTCCAAATAATCCAAAGGAATCGTTATCGAAAACTTGACATGTAGTTTAATAGTATATATATATATATATAGTGACATATTCACAACAACAGCATTTTAAACCACTGTTATTCATAAGCGCCATTGCATGGCATAACCCACTGTGTGTTTACAAATTGAATAATCATAACAATAACATGCCTTCTGCATCCGAATTCAAATAACACTAACAGCAGCAAAAATCCTAAGAGCAGAATGCCTTCTGCAGCCAAGCTCACATATTGTCAACAATCATTTATAAACAAAAACTGACCAACAGAATCTCTGCAGCCGAGCTCACATATTGTCAACAATCATTTATAAACAAAAACTGATCAACAGAAAAGCGCTAGCATAAACAAGCTGCAGCCGCTCTCCCTTTGCAAAAAGTCACGTACTCCAATTATTATTTAGCTTTAAATATAGCGTATGCCAATTTTTGTACTTCAGTCTTAATCCAGATATTCAACATAATAAACTGATAAAAATTCACTCTCGTGAAATAATGTCTTTTTATTCAAACTTATAACTACGTTATTGGCGCAGCCGGTAGGATAGCATTTTGTGAAAAGAAATAAATTAAAGTTCGTGAGTGATACGATCAATTAAAGAGAGGCTTATCCATACAACTGGTGTCTTCTCTGATCAACAAGTGTAATTGTGCACAGTATTACAACTAAATCGAATATATTTCAACTCCAAAATTCGCTATTCGCAAAAGAACTTAACGTGTCAAAACAATTCAAGCAACGTATAAATCCAATTCGGTCGTTGCAACAAAGTGAATTTCGTGACACAAACTAAATAAAAAAAAAAAAAATAAAGGAGCAACCAGAAGGCTCTCATGTGGCTGTACTTGCAGCAATGAATAAATTAAACGACCAAAATTTAAACCAATTGCTTCAACAAATACGGAACGTGCCAGCCTTTGAGGGAGGCCCTATAACCCTGGGTCCATTTATCAGAAGGATGGATTACCTGCTTCAACTGTACTCTACTCACAATGAACGACAACAATGCATCATTTTCGGGGCTATTGAGCTCCAGATATCCGGAGATGCCCAGAAGGTTCCTAGAATGCTGCAAATCAACAACTGGTCCCAACTGAGGTAATCTCCGAATACAAGACGCAAACACCCGTGGAAGAACTACTGCGAAGACTATATAATACCAATTATCAAGGTAATTTACGTAAATTTTGTAGTGAGGTAGAGGCTAATATAATAATTATAACTGACAAGTTAGAATTAGAAGGGAATTTAGATAATTCCAGATTGTATACAAACGCTATGCATAACACTGTAAAAAACTTAATAAATAAAAAATTACCAGATAGACTCTTTATGTCACTCGCAAGACATGATATATCCACTATTTCAAAATTAAAACAAGTAGCTCAAATGGAGGGCTACTATGAGGAAAATTATTATAACAATAATAAAAAACAAAATACTAACAATGCTATAAATTATACAGGAAATACTAAACCTCAATTTAGCCCAAGTTACATAACTAACAATAATCAAAGCCACAATTTTTCACATCACCCTCCGAACAACCAAACTTATTTTAACCAAAATAAGCAACTAGCTCAAGAATTCAAACAGAATTTACAACAAGCACAAATAAATAACCCCATAAATCAAAATATTTCTCAAGGTAGATATATACCAAATCAACCGTACAAGCGTATACGAGAAAATACTAGTGGTTCCCAAAAAATGCAGGTTGATGAAAATTATCAACAATCCGAAAACTATCAGGGTAACTATGTACAAGAAGAGTATGGTTGTCAGAACAACCAATATGAGGTGTTTCAGAATAATGATATAAAAGACGAAAATTTTCCAATTGGAGCCTCGGGACAAGCCAGTACATAGAAATTAAAATTAATAACAGACGCTACAGATGTCTCATTGACACTGGGTCGTCAATAAATATGATGAGGGAAAACTTCCTTAATATACCAGTTTATACAAGACCTACTTCGATTAGAACCATGACAGGGATATCAAAACTAAACCATTATGTATCCACTGCACCTAATAAACTCTTTAGGCAAGATCAGATATTTTACATACATGATTTTTCACCTCATTATGATATACTTTTAGGCAGAAATTTATTAAAGGCAAACAACGCCATAATTGACTACGCTCATGACAGAATAATAATTAGCGAGAGATCGTTCAATCAGAAGAAATTAGTTTGGGATCCAAATTCAGAAAAAAACTTCGAAGCATATTTAAAGCCAGAAAGTTATACACTAGAAATTAATTACGCAATAAGTAATGAAATAACATCGGGAGAAGATTACCGAGTTGATCATCTAAACGTTGAAGAAAAATCAAAACTATTAAAATTACTGAAAAATTTCAGTGACATTCAATATCGAGAAGGTGACAATTTGACCTTCACGAGCATTGTTAAGCACGAAATTAATACACATCATGAAAATCCAATTTACAAGAAACCATACGGTTACCCTTTCGCTTTCGAACAAGAAGTCGAAAAGCAAATTAAAGATATGTTAACCCAAGGTATTATTCGGCATAGCCAGTCGCCTTATTGTAGTCCCTTATGGATCGTACCAAAAAAGGCAGACGCCTCAGGAAAGGCAAAATTTAGATTAGTGGTCGATTACAGAGGATTGAACGACATTACAATCAATGATAAATTCCCCATTCCAAACATGGACGAGATTTTGGGAAAATTAGGAAGATGTTCATACTTTACAACAATAGATTTAGCAAAAGGTTTCCATCAGATTGAGATGGACAAGAACTCAATTAATAAAACAGCATTTTCTACCAAATACGGACATTACGAGTATACTCGAATGCCATTTGGACTTAAAAATGCACCAGCAACATTCCAAAGGTGCATGAATCACGTTCTTCGTGATTTAATTAACAAGCATTGTCTTGTTTATTTGGACGACATTATTGTCTTCTCCACATCACTTGAAGAACATTTAAATTCAATAAATAAAGTTTTTGAAAAATTAAGACAGGCAAATTTGAAACTTCAATTAGATAAGTGCGAGTTTTTAAAAAAGGAAACAGAATTCTTGGGCCATATTATAAGTCCAGAAGGCATACGGCCAAACAAATTGAAAGTAAAAGCAATACAAGAATTTCCTTTGCCAAAAACATCAAAGGAAATTAAATCATTTCTAGGTTTATGTGGTTATTATCGAAAGTTCATTCCAGATTTTGCAAAAATTGCAAAACCCATGACTCTTTACCTAAAGAAAGCGGCAAAAATTGATATTAAAAATGTTGAATACAATAAAGCCTTTGAAAAATTAAAAATATTAATTATAAACGACCTAATATTAGTATGTCCAGACTTTAATAAAAAGTTTCAGGTAACAACCGACGCAAGTAATTTTGCAATAGGAGCTGTGTTGTCACAAGATAACAAGCCAATTAGTTTCTCAAGTAGAACGTTAAACGATCATGAACAAAATTACAGTACAATAGAAAAAGAGCTTTTAGCAATAGTGTGGGCAGTAAAATATTTTCGCTCATATTTATATGGCAGACCATTTGACATTTTAAGCGATCATAAGCCACTCGTTTGGCTAAACAACATTAAAGAACCCAACATGAAATTACAACGTTGGCGTATTAAACTTAGTGAATATAATTTCTCAATCAAATACTTAGAAGGAAAATTAAACCACGTAGCAGATGCTTTATCACGCATCAAAATTGAAGAAAATAGACTCATGAAAATTGAGGTAATTTTATACACTTATAATCATAAGCCAAAACATAACTCTACTGGCAGAACTCCAGCTGACATTTTCATTTACGCAGGTACACCTAATTATAATACCCAAATTATAAAAGAGACCAGAATAAATAATCTTAATAAAAACCGAAATGATTTCGCAGTAAATACAAAGTTTAGGAAAGCACCCATAATTCACGGTAAATTACATAACCCTTACAAACCCACTGGGAAAATAGAACAAATTGACGAAGATCATTTTGAGGAGACTAACAGAGGTCGAAAAATTAAGCATTATAAAACAAATTATCAAAAACAAAAGAAATTAAATATATATATATATAATATTTACACGAGGACGAAGTTCCAAAACAGGACATATAACATTCATTTTTCTGGCACTAATGATGTCAACACTATTACCAGGAAGTAATAACCAGTTTATAGATATTAACCCTATTAATGTCTTTTTATTCAAACGTATAACTACGTTATTATATATATATATAATAACGTAGTTATAAGTTTGAATAAAAAGACTTTATTTCACGAGAGTGAATTTTTATCAGTTTATTATGTTGAATATCTGGATTAAGACTGAAGTAAAAAAATTGGCTTACGCTATATTTAAAACTAAATAATAATTGGAGTACGTGATTTTTGCAAAGGGACAGCAGCTGCAGCTTGTTTATGCTAGCGCCTTTCTTGTGATCAGTTTTTGTTTATAAATGATTGTTGACAATATGTGAGCTTGGCTGCAGAGATTCTGTTGCTTATTTTTTTTTAATAAATGATTGTTGACAATATGTGAGCTTGGCTGCAGAAGGCATTCTGCTCTTAGGATTTTTGCTGCTGTTAGCGTTATTTGAATTCGGATGCAGAAGGCATGTTATTGTTATG